TTTCTAATATTCTGTTAGGTTAGAAAGAAAAAAAAGAGATTCTGCAGAATTCTTATCGTGCTTTGGATTTAATTTTTATTTTTATTTTGGTATGAAACTCTAGCATGCAAGTGCAGGCTAACTCTTCTAGTAAGAAGACACCATCAGGATGGTATCTTTGAATCTAGCTCACTGGAGTTTTCTAGCAGAAAAACCTATCTGCTCTTCATTTTCAGTCGGTTCATCTTGGAGCCATTTTATCTTGTGCCTGGGAAAGTACATTAAGTCACTAAAATAATCTTACTGCTAGCTCAATAATGGCCAATAACCCTGAAGTCAAAATTGTCTCAGACCCATTTCAGAATATTTATTTTTCCAAAGGCTATTGGATTCTCCCTGGAGGCAAGGAAGAGAATGTTTAATGGCTTTCTGCAAAGAAGGCACCTTCATTTTTCTCTTCTATGATACCTTGATGTTACAGTATAGTGTATAAGTAGCAAATTGTATTCAGATCAAAACCTAAATTCCCAGTGTGTTTATATAATTCTGCTGCCTGCTCTTAATTCAGTATCAAGGATTTCATTAATCTTGTGTAGTGAAAAACATTTTCAGCACAAATGGAATGAAGATCAGTGTACCAAAAAAAAATAAAAATCACACAATAAATTGTACTTTAGAAAATATAATTTATTTTTGTTGTAACGCTGAACTCTCTCTTCAGCTGTACAAACTGAAGCAGGAAATGGGGAAGATTGTTTCTTAGAATAGAAATGATTCTTGCCATATAAGTCTGTTTTGTGAGCTTGTAAAGCAATCTATTAAAAGGCATTATTTAAAAGGGTTTAGGGAGCATTGTGTTTAATGCTTTTTTAAGGCAAGTTGACAAATATTCAAACTTCTTTCTAGATTTAATTATTTTTTGTTTATTATTTGGGCAGTATTGTCATGTCTAAGGATTAGAGGTATTTGGTAAAGGCAAGTCCTACCAGCTAACTATTTGGGGTTTTGGTTAGGAACTCTATCTGCTAACTCATATAGTAGTCACCGTACATCACTCCTTCAGCAACATTAATAGGACTGGGCTGTCTACTTTCCTGAACTTATCTTTCTGACTCTTAGTAAGAAATCTAAAATGACTTGGTTATGCCTTCACTTTCTCAAGAGTGGTTTCTTTCAGGATTTAACTCTTCAGTTGACTGAAAAAGAACAAACAATCCACACCTGCATAATATCTTTCTTCATATATAGATATTTTATACTACAGAAAAATCAGTTACAGTAACATGTCTGTTTAATAAACATTTGGAGGAATCAGGTCTGTAATTGTAATGGTATGTGGGAAAAACCTTGGGAGATGGGGGC